CTATCTATCCGTCTATCTATCTATCCGTCCGTCCGTCTATCTATCTATCTATCTATCCATCCGTCTATCTATCCATCGATCTATCCGTCTATCTATCTGTCCGTCCTTCCGTCCGTCTATCTATCCATCTATCTATCCATCTGTCTGTCTATCCGTCCGTCTGTCCGTCTATCTACCTGTCTGTCCGTCTATCTATCTATCTATCCATCTATCCATCTATCCATCTATCTACGTCCGTCTGTCCGTCTATCTATCCGTCTATCTATCCATCTGTCTGTCTATCTATCCGTCCGTCTGTCCGTCTATCTATCTATCTATCTATCTATCTATCTATTTATCTATTTATCTACCTGTCCGTCCGTCCGTCTATCTATCCATCTATCCGTCTATCTATCCATCTATCTATCTATCTATCCGTCCGTCCGTCCGTCCATCTATCTATCCGTCTATCTATCCGTCTATCTATCCGTCTATCTATCTATCTATCCATTTATCTACCTGTCCGTCCGTCCGTCTATCTATCTATCTATCCGTCTATCTATCCATCTATCCGTCTATCTATCCGTCTATCTATCCATCTATCCGTCTATCTATCCATCTATCTATCCATCTATCCGTCTATCTATCTGTCCGTCCGTCCGTCCGTCTATCTATCCGTCTATCTATCCGTCCGTCTGTCTATCTATCCGTCCGTCTGTCCGTCTATCTACCTGTCTGTCCGTCTATCTATCTATCTATCTATCTATCTATCTATCTGTCTGTCTATCTATCCGTCCGTCTGTCCATCTATCTACCTGTCTGTCCGTCTATCTATCTATCTATCTATCTATCTATCTATCTATCTGTCTATCTATCTGTCTATCTGTCTATCCGTCTATCCGTCTATCCGTCTGTCTATCCGTCTATCCGTCTATCCGTCCGTCTGTCCGTCTGTCCGTCTGTCCATCTGTCCATCTGTCCATCTGTCCATCTGTCCATCTGTCCATCCGTCTATCCGTCTATCCGTCTATCCGTCTACCCGTCTACCCGTCTACCCATCTATCTGTCTATCTATCTATCTATCTACCCGTCTACCTATCTATCTACCTATCTATCTGTCCGCCTATCTATCTACCTATCTGTCTATCTATCTACCTATCTACCTATCTGTCTATCTATCTACCTATCTATCCGTCTACCTATCCGTCTATCCATCCATCTATCCATCCATCTATCCATCTACCTATCCGTCCGTCCGTCCGTCCGTCCGTCCGTCCGTCCGTCCGTCCGTCCGTCCACCTATCTATCTATCTATCTATCCTATTTTAAAATCGCACATTTTGCAACCCTGACATACACACTCAGAAAACTCAAATAAGAATAACTGCATTTCTCTTATGATGGATAAAGCAGCATTTGCTTTTCATCTTGTATTGATCAGCATTGGTTCTTCATCAGATGATGGAGCAGAGCTTTATAAGCGATGTTAAAGAGCTGCTGCAGGTGTCTGGATCAGATCCTGCTCTCAGAACCGGCCTGCGAGGAAACTACGGTCAGCACGGCTTTTGATGGACTCGTTACTTGATTTGCATAATTCAATTAGCGAATCAGGAGCTAAACCAACATGTGCCTGCAAATGAGCGGTGCTACCAGCAGGTGCAAGTCACATTAGTGAATTCCTCCTTATTATAGAAGTTTGCACCAAATTACTAAAGGAATAATATTGATCAGATCACTACTGTGCCCTTATAAATGTTACAGGAATATGACGCTCTAAATAAAGCAGATTTTACAATCTCATTCGAACACTTTTATGGGAAACAGAAATTCTGAATATCTTTTCATCTATCTGAGCACTGATTATGAATAATTCAAAACTACACTAGAGAAGAGAAAACACCTCAGGAAAGAGAAGGGATGGGGCTAGAAGTGGCATTTCTGCAGAGAATGTGCCATCTGTTTTCTGTGTGTGATGATAAACCGATAAACAAGATTGCAAACAACTACAGGCCAAAGACAGAACACCACACAGAAACATCCATTCCCGAGAGAAAACACAGAGAAAACATGCTTTCATACAAATATCAGCAATGACACCATGATTATTCAGATTATTATTCACTGATAAACAAACCGTGAACCTGACAGGATATTTCTGCTCCATTCTGCAGAATATATAACACCTTCTGGGGACACCAGAGACTTATATTACATATTGTAAAAAGGGGCATAATATGTCTCCTTTAAAGTACATTGGAAAGTAAATACTATGATAGTATAAAACAGCAGTATATACAGGGTTTCCACATCTTTTAACTAATTAATTTAAATTACATTTTCAGTTTGTGATTACTGGATAGAAAGACAAATCAAAATTATGGAAAATTATATTGACGGAATGTATAACTAACTAACTAAATAACAAACTAACCAATAACCCTAAAGTTTATTTATGTGTTTTGTTATGTGCTTTTTGTCTTTATTAGATTTAATATTTATAGTTAGCTTTAATTTACTAATAATTTTATTATTAATTTAATAATAATACTTGTAATACAAATATATAAATCAAATAATATTTTTTAATTCTTTTAGTTTTATTAGGTTTAGCACTTCTCTACCAAGAGAACCTTTATTTATTTTTAAAGAGTTTTTAAGTTTAAGCTTTTCATCTAATATTTAGTTTTTATTTATTTTTAAAATGTGTAACACTGTGTATTAACATATTAAATAAA